AACAGTATTACAGATATTGTTATAGTATGGCTCTGGAATGTTCCTCAAAGTACCATGTGTTGAAGGCTGGGTTTCCAGGTTGTGGCCCTATTACCTGGTGATGGAGCTGTTCACAGGTTGAGCCTAGAAGAAGGAATTAAGTCACTGGGACCCATCTTCCTCCTCTCTTCTCTCTGCCTCCCAGCTTCCCTGTGCTGAGCAGTTTCCTCAGCTACATGCACCTAATCATTATGTAAGGCTTCACCACCACCCAAAGGCAACATGGGCTAACTATCCCTGGAAAATAAATGAGGCAAAATAAATCTTTTTTTTTTTTTTTTCTGTGTAAGTTCTCAGATATTTTGCTTTGGTTTTTTGTTTTATTGATACTGGGGATTGAACCTAGGGCCTCACTATGGCTAGGCAATACCCGACCACTGAGCTTTTTCTCAATATTTTATTACAGTGACAGAAAGATAAGATACACACATACCCATAGTTAATATAATTTCTATCCCTCACTGCCCAAAGGTCATCACCTAAAATTTGTGTGCATCACTTTCAAATATATCTATGTTTCTAGGCAATACATAGCATACTTTTGAGATATTTTAAAAACTTGAAATAAGTCTGGAGAGATGGCTCAGCAGTTAAGCGTACTGGCTGCTGTTGCAGAGAACCCGGGTTTGGTTCCTAGCACGCACGTGATGGCTAACAGTCATTCATAACTTCAGTTCCAGGGGATCCGATACCTTCTTCTGTCCTCCGTGAGCACTGTACAACATGGGTGCACTTCCATACATGCAAGCAATATACTCACACACATAAAACAAAAAATAGAATATAAAAAATATTTTAAAACTTGAAATACATGTGATTATTATGCACATAATAATATTTTTTGAGTTGAAGTTCTCTCTGTGCTGCCCAGGCTGAATATGGATTACATGGTTAAGTAATTCTCCTGCCTCACCCAAGGAGCCAGAACTGTTCATATTGTGCATAATAATCTTCAACTGGCATTTGTGGCCAATGTTCTTTCTGAGACTGATCCAACTTGATTCATGGAGCTCTGATTCAGCAATTTTTTCTGCTCCGTGGCATCTCATTCTGTAACTATGTAAAGTTTTATTTGCCCTTCTTCTGTTAATGGACATTTAGCTTTCCCCTCTTTTTTCCTTCTAGTTATACAAACAATACCATAATCAACATCCTTGGTCTGGTTTTTTTGCTGCACATTTGTGAATGATCTAGGAATAAACTACTAAGATTGCAGACTAAGAACATTTCCAGTTTACTAAATATTTCCAAATTATTCTCCAGAATGGTTATATAGAGACACTTCCCTCTCAGTAATCTAATCTACTTGGGAACTGAAAATACTCCCTGCATGCAGCACCTAGAAATATTACATAAAATATAAGGAGTAACATTTAAATGTAAAAAGAAATCTTAAGAGAGCAAGGAAATTATGTCAAGGGGCAGTGCTCACTTACAACCCAGCACTCAGGAGGATGAGGTAGAAGGACTATGAGTTTGAGTCAGTCTGGGTTACGTAGGCAGACCCCATCTCAAAACAAACAAGATTATAGAGGAAATGAAAATCCAAAGCCTAGCTCTCCATGGGGATTGCCTCAAACAAAGACTTGGGATCCTGTTAAACAAAGCTAAAACACCAAGTCATGGTCAAAAACAGGTGGGCTGTTAGCAAAGGTCAGCATCAGCTGGTGTCATCTTACCTGGGGGACCCAGGCCTCCTCAGATGTTTGTCTAGCTAGGTCTTCTCTTGACTTTCTCACGGGCTATCACATCTGTTCCACTAGTCACCTGGTTACTGAATGAACTGGCTACTGGCTCCGGTGTGCTGGCTGACATCTTTCTAGAGACACTGACACCTCCTCAGTCTGATTTCTACTGTCTACCTGTGCCCATTCCATGGTTATAGCCAAGCCTGAGGTCTAACCAGACGTTCTCTTCCAAGCTCAGCAATCCCTGGCTTCATCCTTCCCAATCCTAGAGTGTAGTTAGAACAGTGAATGGCTGCTGTACTAGAAAAGTACTGGAGGTTGGAGCACTTTTCAGTGGTATGACGATGGGGTCTGAAAAGTTGGGAGTCAAATCAAACAGGTAAGCCATCCCCTGTATGCCAAGATCTATGCTCTGTGCCCTCTCCAAGACTTTCCTCATGAATGAGAAGTCAACAGTCAGCAGGTTTGGGTTTACAAGCACTTCAGAAGAAAGTAATCAAATAGATAATAATGGACTTAAAGTAAATACACAAAAGAAGGGATAAATAACCACACTTAAGTAAAAATAAAGAAAAATATGTTTATATATAAAAGTTAGACTTTCTAGAAATGCAGACAACGATCACTAAAATCAAAAGCTCAGTGGGTGACTTAAGCAGCACAACGCTGTTCGCCAGCCCTGCACGGTTCCTGTTTCTCCACATCGCTGGCAGTATTTGAGGGTGGTGCCAACTGCAGGCAGGTCAGCCAAGTGCAGGTCACACTGTGCCTTTACAGAATTGAGTACATCCCAGCAAGGCCTTTCCACTTCTGGTGTCCTGGAGTTTAGAACTGTAGACACAAAGGGGACGTTAAACCTCATCCCCTCTCTACCAGTTTGGGTTTTGTTTTGAATGCTGTTGTTGAGCCTGGGTCTCTCCATGTAGCCCAGCAATTACTGAACTCAGTCTTTCTGAACCTCCCCAGAGCAGGCATTATAGACACACACCACCAGGGTCAGACCCTTTCTTTTTCTTTCTCTCTTCCTTCTCTCTTCTCCTCTTTTGTCGTAGTTTTGTGTCCCCAGGGGTGTTTTGTCCCCGAGATCAATTCTCAGCGGGCTGTTCTTTCTCTCCCAGTTCCCACATCCTGAAGCCTCTCACTTAGGATTTAGCGGTCTGCTTTTCCTGCTTCTGGTCTAATCTACGCTAATCTCCAACTTTCCTGATTGCTCACTCTGTACCTATTTCAGCTTTCCTTAGGCAGCTCAAGTTTAACCCAGCTCTCACCATTCCTTTTCCTATGGGCCAGCCTTGGGCCAAAGCAAACAAATATGATTCTGTTATTAATATGCAGGAACCATAAAGCCTGTCCAAGAGCTACGTGATACACATACAGGGAGAAGGGCCGCCTCAGGTCCAACTTTCTGGGGATCTTACACTGGCTGATATGTGTTAGTCCAGATCTATTGGTCAAAATCCAGGGAAAGTATTTCCTTACTTGCTTCCTGGTTATTTTCCCTGGGGATAATTTCCCTTGGGATGGTTCTCAATCCTGCATCATGCTGTCTACCTGTTAAAAGAGATGCTGACCCACAGGGAATGAGGCTGGTCTCCTGCAACTGCAGGCACTATACAATCTTGCTTGTTTGTTGTTAATAAAGGTTTCATTTGACATAGACCCCGGAATACACTTGCAATGGAGAGACTAAAGACTGTTCAGGAGATTGGATTCTTCTACCACACATTCCCAGATACTATTTCTGAAGGACATAAAAATCCTATAATCTAATTCATATTCTTAAGCACAGTTAGCTCAAAAAGGATATGCATTAATTAATTTTAAAGTCAAATTTTTATTTGGAATAGCCCTTCTCTTGACTAATGTCAAAGTAAGAAGCTTTTGTTAAACAGCTTTTTGAAATTGGAGATTTTTTGCATCTTTTAGATTGGTGATCCAGGCTGGGCTCAGGAAACAGTTTATGGAAACCCTGTCTGCAACACAGTTTGCTTTCATCCTGACTTCTGACCTCCTTCAAGACTACCTGTTTTCAAGGGCTCTGTGGTTTGCGAAAGATCAGCCTCATACTAGTTTCAGGGATAATTTTAGTATTTATCAACAATTCCTGGGTTCTTCATTTATGCTGAGCTCTTACAGAGTTTAGGAAAGTCAAGATGAACAGAAGAGGATATTCCCAGCAAGTGCTCATGGCTCCTTCCAGTTCCCTCCCAACTCCAAAGCACTTGCACAAAACTGCCATGGAGTCCCTGCCTCATGCTGAACACTAATCTCTGTTTCAAACACACTTCCTCTACTTTCCACTCCAGGCATTTGGGCAGATCACATAGCGAGTGCCCTGGGAGAGAGCCTGGTGGACTGGGGAAGGTACGTGTGTTTGTCAACCTCCAGGAAGCTGTCATCTGTTTGACAGCAGTGCCTGATGTCACCCATCCTATCTAAAGAACTGCAGCTCCGGCACTCTGCTGTTGCTTTAAATACCACCCTTTCCTAGAAGCAGCCAGTACCTATCCATCAACCTTGGACAGCAAGTTTATTTACCAAAGGCAAGTCAACAAAACCTTAAGAGGCAATAGGGGGTGTGGGGGTTGCTTGTTGTAGCAACTGTCAAGGAAGCTATCAATTGATGCTTTCAGCCTAAAGTATTGAAATATAATATTTTGTTTCTTCCAATACTTTTAAATGCCTACAATCATGTTAGCTTTTTAAGCAACTGTTCATTAGTAATTGGATGAAAAAAAATCCCCAGTGTATCAAAATCGAAGAAAAGCAGATCAAAGAACTTTCTAGATGTTAGAGAATGGATGCCTGGTAACTTCTCCATCGAGTCCCTGTTTACATTTTTTTTTTTTCATTTTATAGTTTCTTCTTCGCTATGTTTTCCAGTACCAAATTTCCATACCCCAGTTTTTCCAAGAGTTTTTAGAAACAGTAGACATTTTAGCTATTAGAGCAAAGTCATTAATTCTGTTTTAGCAGACCGGAGCGTTCTTTTCCATGAACTGCCAAAAAAGTTTATGGTTTTCTTAATATGCCTAGTAAAGCTGGTAAATGATAGGGATCATAGCAGGCAACGACAACCAGGGGTTTATATCAAGTGAGACAGGCGGCAGCAAATGCAAGATCCACCCTCCAGCCCTGCCTACAAAAGACAGTTTTAATTTTCTCCACTTTAAATTTCACCGCAATGATTAGGTTTTCTGAGTGGGGCGGGATCCTGTAGCCGTGGACACCCACAGGCTTCAGGATCCTTCTTCCCAGCCGGAGGTCGCTTACCCTGGCCGGAGTGAACCGGCGCGAGTCCCAGAGCCAGGACGAGGACAGCGCGCGGTGCGGTCATGTCAGCTCCCTCACCCGCGCGCTCAGGATGCTGCGGAGCCCGGGCCTCCCTCCAACGCACACATTTCCGGTTTCCTGCTTGTTTGGGTCGGTGCTCGCTTGAAGGAGAGGTGTTTGCCTGTTTTTTAGGAAGTGATGTAACTCTGCAGAAGCCTGTTAGACCAGCAAAGATTGCAACAGAGAAGTTGCTGGCCCAGTGCTGATTCAGTTAGCACCTCCCCAGCCCTTTGGAGTCCGGGCCTCACCTTTCCAAATTGTCCCTGAGAAACAGCCCGTAGCTCAGGTGCCATTCGAGACTGGGGGAATGCTGGACCACATGCGTTCTTACTTGATAATTTTGCACGGGAGGTTTCTAGGGCTGTGCAGAGCTAGGGCAGTGCTTCCCTGAGCCCCGCACTCATGGAAATATATCAAATCAGCGCCCATTAGCCACATTGGCTACTGGACACTTGACTGAGCCTCGGGTGAAGTGATTTTTTTTCTCAAATTTTATTTAATTCTTTTTAAAATTTAAACACCACCACGGGCTTAGTGACTGTTGTGTTGGACAGCGCAGGCCCAGACAGCAGAAAACTGCTGCTCTCCAGCCAGGCCTATCCTCCTGCCTCAACCCTCCAGTGCCTCCTCCCCAGAGGCCTGTGGGACAAAGCTCCACACCCTCATAAAGAAGCCTTTGCACAGCCAAGCATGCAGAAGGAAAGTGGACCCGCACCTCCCCTGCGTTTCTTTCTTTTTGCATGACAATACATTTCTTGGAGGCTGTTAACCAGCAAAAAAGAATGCAATGGGATTAGAATGAAGTCGGAAATCCTACCCAATGGAAACGATTAAGGGATCTGTTACATACTGGGATAGCTGGAATACTTTGGAACCCTTTCCTAGGTTGGGTTTGCACCTGTGCAGGTGGATTCGTTTCCTTATTCGGTTTGCTGTGGTGCCGAGACAGTCCAAGGTGGGGGAGCAGGGTGAGGCAGGCGGCAGACCCTCTCCTAGCTACACCCTTCCTCCAGTGTCCACCAGTCGTCACCTTCCCATCCTATCGGAGGTGAGTGAGCTACTAAGTGCAAACAAACCAGGTGACCCAAGTTCCCCGGCCCCAGACAGAGCCTTGAACTTCTTCTTTGGCACACTGCTGCTTTTCAATGGTTATCACAGTTCTTGCTTACAAGAAATAAGTTGGTGGCTAACGTTAACAATCAGTTTGTCCACGGATTTACAGTATGCACTTTAATGTCTTAAAGTAGCAATTAAATAAATTCTAGATAAACCATGCTTTTGCACGTTAGGAGACAATCCAGCACAGCAAAAGAAAATACACTTGTTCAAGATTGGATGATCGATCTGAGAACAACAGAGAAAGGACTCTTGCTGAGCGTGTGAATAAGCCACTAGCTCCAAGACCCTGTGGTGCTGAGTTTGGGTGGCAGTTACTCCTGTGGAGTGAGCTCTTCACCAGCTGGGACACACACCTGCAAAAGAGAACTTCATGTGGCCACTCCCATCCTGTTAAAAGCACTGTTGGCTCCTGGGCTTAAAGCACACTTTTGGCAAGGGCAAGGCTGCCAGCCCTGGGTCCTTCCATTTTAAAGCCATGGCTCATGCAGGGCATGGTGGCCCACACCTTTAATCCCAGCACTTCCCAGCAGAAGCAGGTGGATCTCTGTGAGTTCAAATCCAGCTTGGTCTACATAGTGAGTTCCAGGCTAGCTGGGACTACTGGGAGACCCTGTCTCAAAAAACACCAAAAAAGCAAACAAAACAAACAAAAAAACTATGGTTCACTAGGGAGGCCCTTGCAGACAGGTATCTGGGGTTGGACCACAGGCCGTCTTGTGCAGTCCTCCACTGGAGCCCAGGCATGGGTGCACAGAACTCAGTTTCCGCAAATGGACTTTGAGCTTCTGAGCAGTGTAACTGTTACAGTCTTGATGGGCAAAATAAAGCAAGGCTGCAGAGAACTCCAGCACAGCATGTCATTTTCTTTTGACCTCTGTGCTAGGACCCTCAGCAGATGAAGCTGATCTTCAGGGGAAGAAAATTACTGTCATCGGTCAGAAAGTGGTAATACCCCAGTGATCCATCCACTGCAGTTAAAATCCCTGGGGACTGCCTGGTAGAAAAGGGCTACTTACCTCTGTTTGGTCTCATTTCACCAACCATTAATTTTGGCAAGTGGTTGCCAGGGCCTCAGATTAAAGTCAGATGCACTCTCGGAAGTTGGGCCTCAGTCCTTACCTTGAGTCACACTGATCTTTGTGCCCAGTATGTACACAAGTACCTGCTGGTGGCTTAGGAATAGCCTGCAGGAAAGGAGTGTGGTCCAGGAGATGCCCTGAGGCCTCACACAGACAAACCAGCTACTCCTTTAGTTCTGGGGTGGCTTGTTCCTTACATAGAGGAGTCTGGCTTTTACGGTCATCCACTCTCCTCAGTTCCTTCTGTCTGCTGCCTGTCCTGATCCCAAATCCATGGACCATTAGGATGAAGAAATTCAAGGAGTCAGTTGAGAAACATGAAGCTCTCACAGTGAGTGCTGGCTTCCTCTCCACAGTCCCCTTCTGCCCAAACTGTGCCCTTGCCAACATACACAGCTATGCACACACACACACACACACACACACACACACACACACACCCTCATGCCGTGGTGCACACATTCAGCACACTAATGCACACATGCATCTTCACACAGGTGTGCACTCATGCCCATGAACACACACCCTCATACACAGTAGTACACACATACTCAGAGACACACTGAAAGCTCTCTCTCTCTCTCTCTCTCTCTCTCTCTCTCTCTCTCTCTCTTTCTCTTGTGCACACTTTGGAATAGATGAAAACAAAGGAGAATAAGCGGTGTCTATTTAATTCTGAGCTCACACTAGCAAGAGAACTGGCTGTCATCTTTGGCAGAGACCTTAAGTCTGGCTGGGGTTGGGAGAACTTCCCAGTGCATCAAAGGCACACCCCAAGGCAGGCTGTTGGCCCAGAAACCACAATAAGTCCGGGTTGTTGGTTTCAGTGATTGGCCAACAGTCTGCCCTTGGCTTCTCCAAACTCAGATGGGAGGATGAAGATCAGAGACGCTGTCAGATGGTGACCTGGCTTCCTGCAACTCTGGTTTATGGCAGACTGTCTTCTGGACTGGCTGCTGGAGACAAGGGGCTGATTCCTGGGCTGGTTGTTAGAGATCTCTTTTACATATAACTGGCATTTTCATTTGTGTATTTGTTACAGTAGCAAAAAGCCACTTAAGAGAAAAACGGTCAAGAGAATAAGAATCTCTAGCCTGGGTAGAACTTTCCAGTTTTGCCAGGTCAATCACCTGGTCACAGGATCACCCCTGGGAAGGAGGGTTCACCCTTTAAGTCATGCTAAAGAGATAGGCAGAATACATAGTGCATTAATGAGATGGTGAACTTTACCTGCCTGGAATCCTCATCCTCTATTTCAGTGCTTCTGGACAGGGTCCCAAATATGTGGCTCTCAGTAAATCTGCCTGAATTCAGAAAAGCATAACTTCTCTTTTTATTCTTTATGTCTCTTTTCTAAGCATGTTTTCCCTAATGCTCTGAGCTGCCCCAACTTCTTGGATTTCTTTACTTTTCTCTAGAGCTCCCTTCTGCTCCCCACCTGGTGGCTGCTACTACATGTCTGGAATCCATTCTTAAATTCCTTCATGAATGAAACTAAGTACCCTGCAAGGGGATCCTGTTTTCCCCTTTGTCACCTTGAGTCTCTGAAAACTTACCTATGCACACTCACATACTCTGAGATGTGCACCCTGCTCTCACACTCCAGGATACCTACTCGGGTACTGATGCAAGTTTTCTAGAGCCTTTTTTTTTTTTCCGGTTTCCACACCAGCTGGTGCATCTCCTTGGCACTTATTAATTGGGGCAGCCCCTCAGACCGGGTTAGTAACAGCCACAGGGCTGTAAATCCCCTTGAGGAGGCAGCGTGGACAGGCCAAGGAAGGCAGATTAAGGCCCCAGGGCAGGAAAGGCATGCCAGAAAGAGCAGGAGGGGGCGGGGGACTGGGGCAACCGGAGGAGAAGTAGCCCCAGTGTGTATAGGGAGCTGCAGCCTGGAAAGGGCCTTACAACTTGCCTGCTCCCGGCCTTTAGAGCTCAGCCTGCACTGCAGCTTCCTCCAGCTACACCACTGGGGTCTCTGTCCCTGCAGGTCCCACACTCTCTGCTGGTCATTTAGAAAGCTGCTGTATAGTCTGGAAACTCCTTGTGAGACAAAGGAGGAGACCAGCTGCCCCTCCCTAAACACTGGGAGGTGTTAAGCACTGTTAAAGTATAAGTAAAAACTGTTAAAATTATTGTTGATGTCAGTAAGTTCTTTATGTTTACACTGTAAGCATTCCTGGTTGATGCTCATTTTCCTGTAAATAAGCAAAGATGTGGGATGGGGCAATTTGATGCCCTAATTAGCAGTTACTGCACTTTGGTCGCCTGAGTTGCCCTGAGCAAAGGAACTAGTAGTCAAACAGCCAACTAGGCCACCCTTAGGCCAGCACCAGTGTTCTGGAACACTCTACAGACTCTGTCATAATTAGCTTCAGTTGTCAACTACACATACCTGGGGAGTGGGAACCTTAGTTGAGTAATTAGCACCATAGGACTGGCCCATGGCCATGTCTGTGGGGCATTCTCTTGAATGCTAATTGATGCAGGAGGGACCAGCCCACTGTGGGCAGTGCCATCCTTAGGCAGGTGGGCCTGGGCTGTTTAAGAAAGGTGGCTGTGCCAAGGATGATGGCACACACTTTTAATCCCAGCACTCGGGAGGCTGAGGCAGGTGGATCTCTGTGGGTTCAAGCCCAGCCTGGTCTACATAGTGAGTTCCAGGCCAGCTGGGGCTACAGTGAGACTCTGTCTCAAAAAGACCAAAAAAAAAAAACAAAACAAATAAAAAGGGGTAGCTAGAGGTGAGCCTGGAAGCAGCATTCTCTAAGGTTTCTGCTCCACATTGCAACCTTGAATTCCTGCCCTGATTTCTCTTAATGATAGTCTGTGATATGGAAGTATAAGCCAAATAAACTCT